AAAAAAAAAAAAAAAAAAAAATTCATCATCATACTCATCTTCAATCACGAGTCCACAAAGCAAAGAGCGAAGAGAGGAAAGAAAAGCCAAGGCCAACTAGGAGATGAATAATAAAATCGATAATCTTGACATTCAGATGCGAAGTATGAGCGACGTTATGGAGGGAAGGCCTGGATCGCTCGACGAAGGTCAAAGCAACACCAACGCCGCTGTCACACGACTCGAGCAGCGATTAGAGGAAGTCTTGCGTGCGTTCCAGCATCAACCCCCACCGCATCGCGACGAACCTCTAAGGCGCGAACAACGCCAACATGCCGAGCACGCCGAGCACGCCGAGCGCATGCCATCACCACGGCACGAGGATCGGCACGAGCAGCAGCGCGCGCGCGAACATGACGAGGACCGGCGATGCATAGGTTACGAGTACGAGGACCAGTTCGATCGGCAATCGCACGCATCCATTTACCGAGAGAGGCCAAAGCCCGACAAGCCCAGGTTTGTGATGTCCACATTCATGGGTAATGATCCGGAGGCCTGGCTCAATCGAATTGCACAATACTTCGAACTCAACGAAACCGAAGGCCATGATCGAGTAAGGTACATAGCATTCTATTTGGATGGTGAGGCCAACGTATGGTGGTAATGGCTCTCAAGGATCTACCGTAAGCGGCAACAGATCATTACATGGGCTGATTTTGAGAGGGAATTGCTCACACGCTTTGGTACGTTCGATTACCATAACTACAACGAAGCTCTCGCATGAATACGCCAGACAGGCAACTTGCGCGAATACATCGAGGAGTTTGAACGCCTTGCCTGCCGCGTGCAAGATTGGTCCAAGGATGCACTAGTGGGAGCGTTTGTAGGAGGATTAAAATTTTATCTAGCTGCGGAGGTTCGTCTAGAAAGGCAAGACACCATGCACGTCGCTATGGAAGTTGCCCGACAACGAGAGGATCACCTAGTCGCGACACGAAGGGAATGGGCAGACGCCCAATTCAACGACACGCGACGCACAGGCCCGAGCCAAGCGATGGCAAACTCGCGGCCGAACATCAGCAGCCGGCCGGCAGGGCCCGTAGTTAGACAACTGTCCCCCGAGGAAGTCAAGCGCCGACGTGAGAAGGGCCTATGTTTCAAATGCGAAGAAAAATTCACACCAGGCCATCAATGTAAGCAAGATTTCGTGATAGAAGTTGCTAATCCTGACGAGGAGGAATTAGAGGTCAAGGAAGAATAACATCAGGAGGATGAGGTTGAGGTGCCCGAAGAGGAAGCAGAGATATCGATGCACGCAATGGCAGGGATTCAGGGGCCTCGGACGATGCGATTGCTAGCTTGGGTCAAGGATCGTAGGGTGATGGTGCTCGTGGACAACGGGTCATCACACAACTTCATCAATGCTGACTTGTCCGAAAATCTGAACTTACCAACCACGAAGTTTGAGCCTTTTGAGGTACGAGTAGCTAATGGCGAGAGGCTGCAATGCATTGAATCCTTTCGAAAGGTGCCAATCAAGTTCCAAGGAGTTACAGTGAAGGCTGATCTCTACGCTTTACCCCTCTTCGGACCTGATGTCGTGCTAGGAGTCCAATGGCTCGAATGGTTAGGCAAGGTGACTACCGACTATCGAACAGGAATTATGGAATTCAATTCTGGAGGTTGACAAGTCACTCTGAGTGCTGGCAACGAAAAAGGTACCAAGGAAGTAGGACTGAAGAGCATCGAAAGAGTTTGGCGAGGCGGAGGCCAAATCTTTGCAGTAGTGGTCGAGAACGTTGAGGCACACATAGAACCGGACGAACAACAACAGGGAGATGTGCGCGAACTTCTTGAAGAGTTTGAAGGAGTACTGAGCGAAACTAAGGGAATACCACCGTACCGAGAGTTCGATCATCGCATACCGGTGATCAATGAGCAGCACGCCATTCACGTCCACCCTTATAGGTACGCTCACTTTCATAAAACTGAGATCGAACGGCAAGTGGCCGAGATGCTAGAGTCAGGATTAATCCAGCATAGCAAGAGTCCGTTTTCTTCTCCAGTACTGTTAGCTAAGAAGAAGGATGGTACGTGGAGGTTTTGTACTGACTATCGGGCTCTGAATGCTGCGACTATCAAAGACCGATTTCCTATTCCTAGTGTCGACGACATGCTCGATGAGTTTGCTGGATTATGTTACTTCTCAAAGCTCGATCTGAGAGCTGGATATCATCAGATTCGACTCCACAGGGCCGACATACCAAAGACAGCTTTTTGTACGCATCAAGGGCATTATGAGTATTTGGTATTGCCATTCGGGTTGTGCAACGCCCCATCCACTTTCCAGTTTGCTATGAATTCCATCTTCAAGGAGTATCTGCGTAAGTTATTTTTGGTATTCTTTGATGATATCTTGATCTATTCCAAGTCATGGGCTGAACATCTTGAGCACTTGAGAATGGTGCTCGAAATCTTGGAGGCCTACTCATTTCACATCAAGCCATCCAAGTGTTCATTCTGACAGAAGATGGTTGAGTATCTAGGGCATTTCATATCCCACGGAGGCGTGAAGGTTGATCCACGAAAGATTGAAGCTATGGTCGACTGGCCTAAACCGTCGAGTCTCACACAGTTGAGAGGGTTTATAGGACTTACGGGCTACTACAAAAAATTCGTGAAAGATTATGGAACCATCGCCAAGCCCTTGACAGAGATGACCAAGAAAGGTGGGTTCACATGGACCAAGGCTAGCAAGGAAGCATTTGGGAAACTGAAAGTCGCCTTGACTACAACGCCAGTGCTCGCCATGCCGAGATTTGATGTCTTGTTCGAGGTACACACAGATGCGAGTGACATTGGGATTGGAGCTGTGCTAGTGCAAGAAGGACGACCCTTAGCCTATCTCAGCAAGGCACTAGGCACGACTCGACTAGGTCTATCGGTGTACGTAAAGGAGATGCTAGCAGTTGTCGAGGCTGTAAGGTGTTGGAGGCCTTATCTATTAGGGCGATGATTTCATATTGTAACCGACCAGCAACCGCTCAAGCATCTACTTGAGCAAAGGATTGTTACCCCCGAGCAGCAGAAGTTCGTTTCCAAAGTTATGGGTTTTGACTTTGAGATAGTCTACCGGCCAGGCCGACAGAATGCGGTAGCTGACGCATTATCCAGACGGGCTAATGTAGCTGAGCTTAATGCTATCACTGGACCGGCCTGGACTGTTTATGAGGAATTCAGGAAGGCGCAAGAAGAAGACACGCAGTGCCAGGAGTTGCGTCGAGCAATCGATGAAGGTAAGACGACTGCTATTGACTATGAGTTGCACAATGGTCTACTTCTACAATGAGGCCGAGTATTCGTTCCCGACAGTGGACAGTTACGCGAGCAAATCATGCAACACTTCCACGATTCTAAAATTGGAGGTCACTCGGGGATCTACCGCACATGGATGAGAATAGTCAATACATTCTTCTGGCCAGGGCAGCAGAATACCGTCCGAGATTACATAGCACGGTGCGACGATTGTTAATGCACCAAGGTTGACTCAAGATGGCCGAGTGGGCTACTGCAACCTCTACCGGTACCCGAGGCAATCTGGGAAGACATTACTATAGATTTCATAGAAGGGTTACCGAGTTCTAATGGATTCAACGGTGTTAAGGTCGTGGTGGATCATCTCACAAAGTATGCTCACTTCATACCCATCACTCATCCTTACACAACAAAATCCATTGCCAGGCTATTTGTGGAGTACGTGATGAAGCTGCATGGGGCACCACGATCCATTGTTTCTGATCGAGACTGGATCTTTATGAGCAGCTTTGGGTCTGAATTATTTAAGTTACAAGGGACCAAGTTATCTATGAGCTCAGCCTACCACCCACAGACAGACGGACAGACTGAGGTAACCAACCGAACTCTTGAGCAGTACTTAAGGTGCTACGTCCATCAATTTCCAAAGAGGTGAGAAAACTTTTTGCCTTGGGCTGAGTATTGGTACAACACCACTTACCACGAATCGACCAAGATGACATTGTTTGAGCTGGTATACGGGCGAAAACCCCCGATGTTGATCAACTATTCGGAGGGGAGTACAGTCAACGATGAGGTTGGTCGAAAACTCGAGGAACGAGATATGATGTTGCAAGAATTAAAGAAAAATCTCGAAGGCTCGATTAACCGAACCAAAGCCTTCGCAGATGGTAAGAGGCGCGAAGAGAGCTTTACACCGGGAGAGTATGTTTACCTAAAGCTACGACCATTCAAACAACGCACAACAGCACAAAGGGCAGCGACTAAGCTTGGAGTTCGCTATTATGGACCTTATCAGATTCTGAAGCGCATTGGTCAGGTAGTTTATCGCCTAGAATTGCCAGAAAGTTATCAGATCCACCCGGTTATCCATGTCTCACAACTCAAAAGAAGTCTAGGAGAAGTGCAGAAGTATTGTGAGGAATTACTAGCAACCGCTACCGATGGTAGGATCATAGTGCGTCCAAAGCGAGCGATTAAGTATCGCAAGGTAAGGAAAGCAGGACGCAATCGATGGGAAGTACTAGTCGATTGGGAAGAGTTGCCAACCGAAGAAGCCACCTGGGAAGATCTTGATGAGATGCGTGATCAGTTCTCGTATATCACCCTTGAGGACAAGGAAGCACTTGAAGGGGACGAGAATGATGCGGAAGTGGCTAGGCAGCTCAAGAACGCCGCGAGTCGCGCCTACCATGCACGCAGAAGGCAAGCGCGGGTGACGGCGGAAGTACACGTACAAGAGTGTAGTGCGCGCGGAACGAGCGAAGGAAGACTGCACGAGGATGTGCAAGTGATGTGCGCAGACAACGTTCGTAGGCGGGACGCGCATAGCGCGGGGTTGACGGGCACGCACGCGGAAAAGTTGGGCGAGGGGGACTCGCGCGTAGCAGACGAGGCCTCATGCCTCGAGGCATGCAGGAAGGCAGGACAGTACGCGCGCGGGGGAGCAGCCGGGAGCAGAGGCGTGCGCTACACGCTGGACGGGGCAGGACGCGTGGGTCGCGAAGCCGCAGTCCTTGAGGACTGTGGTATGGCGGGTGGACATGCACGCAAGGGCGGCGCGATGGGAGCTAGCGTGCACCGCATGATGGGTAACGATGCACGCGCGAAGGGCGGTGCCCTAGTCCTCGAGGACTAGGGCGTGGACTAAGGCAGCGTGCGTATGAAGGACCGAAGTGAGGCGGTCGCACGCATAAGAGAGAGATGGATTACTTGGAGTGCAAACAAAGATATTTAGTTTCCAACTAGCATTATAATTTCTAGCTTAATTAGGACACTTAATATTTTATTACTTATTTAGATTCCTAGGTAGATTAGACTTAGACAAATCTTGTGCCTATATAAAGGCCCTCTCCCCTATGTTATTTTTATCATTCAAGAATCAAAAGAAATTCAGAACTTTGTTCTTTCACTTTGCTTTAGTCTTTCACCAAAATACTATTGCAATTTTATTCGTTTCAATAGGCGCTGTTGTGGCTAGAGAAACACTATCGGCGATTCAAGGCGCGGGTTAGCGGCTTATCGGCAATCGAAACACACGATCCTCATCACGCTGGCAGCAGTGCACAGGGCCCGACAGACAAGCAGGGTTTCAAATAGGACCGACCGATTTCAAAAAGTACTCGACCAATTCACTTGAAATTTTTACACGTTAAAATAGACCCAGAAAGGCATATTTTCACAAAGTTTCAGACCCAACACTTTTGTTTAACTTAAGCAACTAATTTTTACAAAAAGACGATAAAAATCTGAACTTTCTAGTTCATCTGGCAATCCTTTGAATTTTTCAATGAAATTTGAACACAACACATATAACATCAGATTACTAGCACTCACCAAAAATCACAGCAAAATACCAAGAATCCGATTTTTAATGATTTTTTAAAGTTTCTTCCTAGAATTTCAAATCGACATTTGACCTAGCTACAGACATCATTTCGACTTGAAATTTTTACACCACATAACATACCAAAAGAAGGTCATACAGTTTAAATTGCACAGCAATATGACGAACACATGATTTATGATGATTTTTGTAAAAATCAGCAGCAACTCCCGATTCAAAATACATATATGACCACATACTCAACAAAAACGTCTAAGGCCTTCACCATGAGGCCAAAGACTTATAAATGTTCCATAGTCCACAGTCTAACACGATTTTAATGAGTGTTCATCAAGAACACACCAATGTCCCTTCAAACATGCATAACAATGTGGTTCGGAGGCTTATTTCCTCGAAAAACAAATAGAGCTCTAGATGACCGAGCACCCTTACTTATTTTAAGAACCTGTTTTAACCCCATAATACTAATGATTTATAAGGATTTTTAAGCTCCAGAACTCGGCCTAAACATGCATGTAACGAAAAATACGATTTTAAGGCTTTAAGCTTAAAAAATTTGAATCTCTCATTCTACCCGAGCAAAACTTGATATCTATACATGATAAATCTTAAAATATCATTTTATAGCTAGGATAAAAGATAGCATGAGCTAACCTTCACCGAAGTAAAAAATGAGACTCAAGCCCTTAACTCGGGTCTCCTCGGGTCACTATAGGCCGTGGCTTCATTCGGTGGCCTTTGGTTGGGGATGATGGCTTCTCTAAACTCCTTATACTCCTAGAGATGATATGAACTTGGCTT